ATTAACCAAACACTACTCTACTGCTTAAATCCATAATTCCACAGTTGCACCAAACATGTTAACAGCTTATGTTCACAGCTATAAGTCATAATCTATTAAATTATAATCTATAATTATTTTTCCACAGATCTACCAAACAGGGCCATAATATTTCAGAGTCTGAATCTCTAGACAAAGAAAATTCTAATTTAGATTTATCCACCGAGTGGCCAAGTTACTATATTTATAATTGCTAGAGTATCATTATTGTATTAAGGCCTTGTTTGTCATCCTCTAAAAGAGTCAAAAAGTCACTATCTTATTTAAGTCACATCACCTCTCTATTACATCACTTCAAATTCAACTCATATTTCATAAAAAATTAAAAAATACATTTATTTAGAACATCTCAAACAACCCTTAAATTTTGTATAAATATCATTTTTCAATTATGAATATAGATGTGTCACTCGCACCTATATGTGTAGTTGGTTAAAAAAATCATTTACTTAGCTTTGGTTTGGGAACATATTTTTTTAGTAATTTTTTAATTTTTTGACTAAAATATGATGTAAAAAAAATCAGTATATTTAGATGATTTTTTGACTTTTTACATAAAGATGTGCAAAAAGGAGAAAGAAAATGAAATTTTTGACTTTTTAATATAAATTATTAACTTTTTAACTTTTTTTAATAACTTTTAACTTTGAACTAAAAATATCACTTACCAAACGAGGGCTTAATTTCTTATCCAACCTTTTACATATTCTCTCACATGCAGCGTCACCGACAGTGTAAAAATTGAGTTACACCTATTGTAATTTAGTATTTTAATAAAAATATGTAGCAAAAACAATACTACATGTTTTTTCATAAAAACAAAATTATTCATAAAAATATTCAGAAAAATAAATTTCTTACTACTTTTAAACATACACCATAACATATTATACTTTCAAAATAAATTTTAAATAAACAATGAGAATGGTTTCTCTCCAATTAAACTTTCAACTGAAAACTTGATAGTTAGAGATTTTTTATCAATAAAAATCATTAAATAAAGGTTTCTTATTAGTAAGAGTCATTAAATAGAGGTTTTCTTATTGGTAAGAATTATTAAACGAATCATTTTTACTGATAAAAATCTTTAAAAAAATTTAATTAAATCATATTTTCAAAGACTCTTATCCATAAAAAAAAATACGAAATCTCTACTCAATAATCCTTATCGATAAAGAATCTCAACCGTATGATTTGATTTGATCCAGTTAAAAATTTAATTGAAAAAAAGCCAAATCCAAAATGACGTGGGAAAGTTGTTTGGAATTGTAAGGAGAGTTGCAGACTTGCAGTCAAAGAAATGGGGCGAGTCTACAGCTGACATGTGGAACGTTAGATATATGGGCGGAGGGAAGGAGGGTCCAGGCAGGGGGTCCCCCCCTCCTCCGGGGTTTTCGATTTTATTATTATTATTTTTAAATATAAAGAAGATATTTTAAATAAAAATATTATTTATAATGAGATGGAATGATCGTTTTATTGAAAATAAAAAAATTATAATCAGCTTGCTTATTTTTATTTTTTAAAAAATATTTTTTAGAAAATTTTATATTTTTATTTTTCGTATTTTTTTGTTTTTACTGAATTTTTTTAATATTTTCAGTAATTTTTTTACTTTTTAGATACACCTAACATAAATATACTTAAAAAGTAAAAAAATTGTAAAAAAAATCTTTTAAAAATTTATTAAGTACCAAAAATATAAATTAAAAAAATACAAGAATTCAATATTTTTTTTGTATTTTTATGCATTTATTAATTTTTTAAAATATTTTTCACAAATTTTTTACTTTTTAGATATATCTAACTAAGATGCATCTAAAAAAGTAAAAAAAAATGTTTAAAATTTAAAAAATATTCACTAAAAATAAAAGAATACGAAAATAAAAAAACTCAATTTTCAAAAAACTTAATCCAGAAAGCTCAAACCAAACACACTGAATATTATTATTTATAAAAATTCTAATATAATGGTGATATCTATCATTATTGACATGTAAACATAATTAATCTCAATAAAAATATAGAATTAATTGAATTGTTAATTATATTTGACATGTAGATTTCATCCTCTATATGTTTCTTTACTATTGACTGGTGATATCACATGTAAATGATGAAGTGGTATAACTATTATATTGAATTTTTACGCATATTTTGTATAAAAAATTACTTTATCGTTATATAATTTATTTTAAAACTTTATATCCATGACTTTTTGTAATATTATCCATGGTACACTAATTACAAAATACAAACATTATTGACATCTAAACTTTATCATTCTACTTTTTTGTTTTCACAGAATTTTTTTAATATTTTAAGCAATTTTTTTAATTTTTAGACACACCTAACGTAAATACACTTAAAAAGTATAATTTTTGAGATTTTTTTTAAATTCACTAAATACAAAAAATACAAAAAAAAATGAAAAATCAGTACATTTTCATATTTTTATGTATTTATTAATTTTTTAAAATATCTTTTCACAAATATTTTTTTTAGACACATCTAAGTAAGATGCACATAAAAAAGTAAAAAAAAATGTTTAAAATTTTAAACATATTCACTAAAAACAAAAAAATACGAAAAATAAAAAAACTCAATTTTCAAAAAATTTAATTCAAAAAATTCAAACCAAACACATTGATTATTTATTTTTATTTTTTATCTTTCCTAAAGTCAGTAGTAAAAATTTATGTGAAATATTTTTGTAAAAATTTATAATATTTTAATTAATAAGTGCCCCATCTGATTTAATTTTTTGACTCTACCACTGGATATATATATATATATATATTATTTTCGAAAGCATAGAGCTGGCAGAAAGATTCGAAATGCTACAGATCGAGTTCATTAGCAGGTTTGGATCACACAAAAAAGTTCATCAGCAGGTTTGGACCAAACAAAAAAGTTCATCAGCAGGCATGCGAGGAGTGTGAACTCTCCTTTTGGCTTAGTTATAAAATTTTGATTTAGATCAAATGCCTATATTTTTAATGGAAAAAGTCATACACATGCATAAATAATGTAATTTAAGTGATTTTTTTTAATTTATTAATATTAATAACACTAATAAAGGTGTGAACAAAACAAATATATTAATTTGACATAATATTAGGTGAAATACATGCCACGGTTAAAATTTATATATAAACTTTTCTCTTTTGGAGGTATATTTCAAACTTGAGGTTCTCTTTAGTTGGGTTTTCCAATTAGGGGGGTGTTGTTGGGTTTCTATGGATCCATTATAGAGGTCATATTAATAATTTGAATTGTTTAATGTGTAGAGCTTGTCAAATGCATCGGGTTTATTTGGTTTGTGTTTTGAGATAAAGTTTCAAAAAAAAAATTTGGGGAGAGTTTAAAATTTTTTAAATTTGTTTGGTTGTATATTTTGAAAATAATTTTAGAATTTGGGATGATTTAATATTTTGTTGTAATTGAGTAGATGTGTGTAAAAGAAAAAATGATTGAGAAAGAGATAGAAAAAGTGATTGATTAATGTGTAGGAGAGACAGTGATTTGGAATTTTTTTCAAAAAATTTGAACCAAACAAAATTTTAAAAAAAATTTACAAAAATTGTATCTTGAGATACAAACCAAACAAGTCCCATCATTTCTATAAAAAATATGTTGATTGAATATCGATATCCACTTGACCATATCACATTTGTATCAACAATAAATGCAATTGTTGACATAAATGTGATATGATTAAATAGCTATCAATATTTGATCAACGTGATTGTTTACAAGACTGATGTACTTGACGAGCATTACACATTGAACAGTTCAGATTATCAACACAAACTTCGTGTTAAGCCCACAAAGGCCTAATAGCTCTCTCCAATCCATACAGTCCGAAAAAAAACCTCTCCAATATTTTTAAGTGTGTCTAGTATTATTTTTCTTCTTTTTTTTAAAGAAAAAAATTTGTGATTGTTTCACATGTCTAATGATTAAATAATTTCAGAATATCATTTTCCATTGTTCACAGGCTATTTTTTTACCGGCAGTGATTGGTAGCTCGAGAGTTTCGGCTCGAAATTGGCTCGAAAAAGTGACAGAGAAGGAGGAGGGAGAGGGAGAGGCTGGAGGAGGGCGGAGGAGGAGGAGGAGGAGGGACTGGAGGGGGCCAACATATCGGGGTGGAGGCGGAGGAGGGCCGGAGGCGCGGGAGGAGGAGGGACTGGAGGGGGCCAACATATCGGGGTGGAGGCGGAGGCGGGGGCGAAGGCGGAGGAGGGGCGGAGGCGCGGAGGCTGCGACGACGATCGGCCGATGCGGGGCTGCGACGATCGGGCAGAGGCGACGGCGGAGGGCTGCGACGGACGACTTGCCTCCTCCTCTCTCTCTCTCTCTCTCTCTCTCTCTCTTTCTCGCTCTCGCTCTCCCTCTGCTTTCAGACCAGCTAGACGAAGAAGAAGAAGAAAAAAAAAAAAAACAGCCGACGTCGTTTTGGGCTGTCGAGCCGTTCGAGCCGCTGTACTCTCGAGCTACCACGCATTTCCCTTTTTTTACCTTTGACATAATTTTTTTTTACAGATACGATAATATTGCCCCAACTTTCATTTAGAGATGAGAAATGATTTTACATCATAACCGTCAAAAAAAAAATAGACAATGGTAGCATCGACTCCTTTGTTCATGATAACTCATTTGATTGTGTATTAGGCTTCGTTTGGAATGTAAATTAACTTTTCGACTTTCTGATTTTTTGCTATATTAGCTTGAGATTAAAAAATTTATGATTTGAGTGTAACATTTTGTCTTATTGACTTTTTAACCTATTTTGTTTTTTTTTTTTTTTTTGTGTAACTATTTTAACCTTTTAATCTCAAAAAATCTCATGCCAAACGAGAGCTTAAAATCGAATCATTTAGACGGCTGAACATTGAATCACAAATATCCATGAAAAATAAACCCACGTGTGACCTCTAAACTCGGATAGATAATCATGAGATAGAAACAAAATTCATTAGAAACCACAATTCACATCATTTTACTGACATAGGCATGACCAACAGTGACAATATAGGCCTGAACAACAGTGTGACAGCATATACGCTGCGAGGCAACCAAATGATGAGACAATTACTAACCAACAGACTAAGCAAGCACATAATCAAGACAATATCAAAGCTTGATGAACAACAAAACATAAAAAAATGTAGATGCATGTTACTGTAAATTTAATAGCTTCACTTTCAATCAGGTTTCGCTCTATTGTCAACTTACTAGCCATCAGATACTCTGAAGACAATTTGCATGATACAGTATCGTCATAAACCAAAAGATGTAGTGGGATTTGGGTGCCCAAAAAACCGTCCTTAACACAATCCTGGATCACCTGGGTAGATAGATGGTTGCTCCAGAATCAGAAGGCTAGGGTCACATCTGCGCAATTGAACCCTACTATCTGCCCTGCCTATGTGGGTTGTTTCAAGTCCAGGTACATCATCATCATGTTCTTCTTTAGCCATTGAGTCCACAAAGCTTGAACCACGACCAATCTATAAAAAAAAATGAAATAATAATAATGATAATAAATACAAGTATCATCAAAACTAGCAAATTTGCAAGACCATACCTAACAGGCAAATATGCATAATCACATCAGTGGAAGTACAAGAGTTATCTGAACGTGCTAAGACAACAATGACTACATCGACTCCCGTGCAAACTGTAAACTAACAAATAATCAAGTTTGAGAAGGCTATTTAGCATTTTTTCTTTTTCAATGTAAAATAACAAGAGATGAGTTTTTCAGTTAAAGAGGTCCCTGCCTACAAGCTTTATCTTGTTGGAGACAAAGGTGAATACATTCACTTGCTCAATAAGCAAGAAAACAGAAGTTTGTTGTTGGGGGAAATCAGAACTGGCTTGACATTGGATACAGTTGCAATATTTCACATTGCAGGCATCCACTACTGCAGTATCAGTAGCAAACAATAATTTTTAGTCTCTTGATTTGAGTTTCCAATTGAAACTGATACACAAAACCCCTTAAATAATGCGCAATATGAGGCCTTAGTCTGGCATCCAGGAGTTCAAATCATTACCTATCTAAAACAATGTCTAAGATGTTTTTGGGAGAAAGAATGTGTTGATCTATGGGGGCATCCTCAAACATTGTAAATGTATACATATGTATATAGTATATTTCTACTCAGCATTGTATTGGCAGGATTTTAGTTGGGTGCTTCCCAAGATTAAATAAATTTCAATATATGATAAGGACAAAAAAATATTTTAAAATAAAATATTGAGTATTAGAGCTAAAAGAGTCATGAGCTGAAAGAGTCATGGAACATTACTTTTAAATTCACTAATTTTCAATTTGCACAAACTCTGGAAATGCTGATTCTGATTTGGATTCATCATCCTCCAGGGTTAAGGTGGTTTGCTATGTCTCTCATACGTGGTTTTGCTAGAAAAGGCAATAATGAGACCACTGTTTTAGTAATGATGCAGAAAAGAGTAGTATTCTATTATTTGTCATTATGTCTCAACTTCAGCTAAAATTCCCAAGTAAGTTTGTGTTTTTTTGATAAACAACATTACAGGTAAGTTTCATTTTATCGTCTTCAGTCTATTAACTTCGTTGCTCTTCAGGTAATAAACTACTCAAGTTCAATGAATTGATCTTCAACAGATAAATGCCCCACCCATTGGCTATTATTCTTACAGGTCATTTTATCTTAATATTTTTTAATAAGAGAGAAAATGAACTTAAATAAAGAAGAACAAATCACGAAGAATGGAAAATTAGGTTTTTTCCTCAAAAGCAAAACAAGAGATGGAAAATCATACCAATCTACATCCAACAATAAGACATTCCACCACCTGAAACCATGACATGCAGGTTACTGTAAACTTGATGAAAAATCCAATGGAAATTCACCAGTGTGTGTTTGATTGGGGTATATAATGGGGGGAGACCAGGCTACATCCTACCCTAACCAAACATAGAACAAGTGATCCGATAGTACATATAATCCCTCTCATATCTTAAACATATTATAACCCATCCTATATCCCTAAGTATTACATATCCTCCTCAACCCCTTATATCCAATCCAACAATCAAACAGGGCAAAGTCTCATTTCAACTTGTTCATGGACTCATATTACAAGAATAAACTACTAATCTAACTAAATTATCAATGCAGTTAAACTGCTATGTTAAGCTTAAACTATCTATTTGTCTAAGCTGACATATTTATACAAAAACTAATGGCATTATCCCATGGATATGTAAACTGTGGCAGAATAAAAAAAGGATTTATATATATATATTTTTTTTGATAAGTCAAGCAACTTTTATTTAAAAAATAACAGCAAAAGGAAATGTTGCCCATGTACAAAAGGTTAAACCATGATAACCTATAGCACTCAAAATAAAAGAGGCCTATACAAATGAAGAGAATCTACAATCTACAATATGATCTAGGCTAGACATAACACTCCCTGAAAACCAACAATACAGAATGGCATAAAAAAACAAACTTTGGAGCTTCTATAAAGGCTCCTTTACTCCTTGAAAGATCCTCTTGTTTCGATCCCTCCATAATAACCACATCAAACACAAATGAGTCAACAACTAGGCTTCCATATTTGCTTCGCTGCCCTAGCCTCCCCAAAATCTGAACCCAACTCCTGAAACAACTCTATGGAAAACCCAAACCATCCCAAATGAAGCCAGAACCACCCTCACAAATCCCTAGCCACCTTACAATCAATAAGCAAATGAGAAACTGACTCTCCATCACATTTACAGAAGAAACACCAGTTAAAAATGATATGTCTTCTCTTTAAAAAGGTTACAAGTCATTAGGGGATCTTCTCATGAGTTCACTCCACACAAAAAAAGTTACCTTGGATGGGGCCCCAACATAATAAAACAAGATGGATAGGAGTTAGAGAAGTACTTATAATCATAGTCTACCAAGAAAAATCAAACTAAACACAACAATGAAAGAAAAGCAGTCATTTGATAAATATAACATACAATGTACATAGACTGCTCGCATAATGTTTCAGCACCACATATTTATAAATAAATTCCACTCCATAGGGCTAACTAAAACCAAACAATAATTCTCTAAATAATAGTGAAGGGACTCTTCAACTGACCTTCATGCGATACCAAAGTTTTGTAGCTTGTCACAATGGGGAGTTGGTAAGTTCCTGCTCCATTGACGCCTCTGCAGTTCTATGTGACAGTAACGACCAAGCATATTTTTGTAATCCTTTATCACATTATTCTCAATATTAGCTCGAGCAGGAGTTTCAAGTGGAAATTTCTTATCAAATTCTGGTGATTTAACATAAAACTCCACTCCATGTTTCTCAGTAACCTTGGGAAACTGATAGGAATAGTTCTTCTGCAAAGAATATTCAGGCTCCGAGAAGGGCAGATAAGCAAGCAAAAATATTATCAAAAATGGTAATATTTGAAGAAGAAGCATCACATTAGGCCCTGCGCCACCAAACTCTTCCCTCGGTTGATTGGCTGTTTCCCTAGTCCTGTAAACATGAGATGCCCGAAACATCTCGGTCTGGCCAAAGAACGCCCTGAATATCTGGTCAGGATCGACATCATCATCAAAAAACTCATGCCCAGTTCTCCTTCTCCGCTGCCTGCCATTGTACTGCTGGTTGTACTCAAATTCTTCAACCAATCCCGTCTGATCATACTGCCTTCTCGAATCATCATTGCTCAAGCACTTGAATGCCTTGCTAACTTTCTTAAATGCCTCCTCAGCACCCGGAGCCTTGTTCTTGTCAGGATGAACTTTCAATGACAATTTCCTATACGCCTTCCTAATCTCCTCCACCGGGCAACCTTTTTGCAAACCAAGAATTTCATAGTAATCCTTACTTCTCCTGACTTCCCTAATCAACTGCACATGCTCTTCAGTATAATTATGCTCCCCGTTCGAAACCTCAGCAAATTTACCCGAAGCCGCCTCATTCTTACTACTATCAACAGGTTTTTCATCGTTAGAAGGACCAGGAGACCCCGAATCTAAATTTTCGCAAGCGGCCAAAAGATCATCAACAGACAAATTATGGTTAAGCCGTCGTGCAATTCCAATGAATTTTAGTGCACGCTGCTTGTTACCCGATGCGATCGCCTCCTTGGCAATACCCACACATCTTAAAGCTTCGTCCTTGTTACCTTCCATAATTGAAAACCCACTTCGATACAAAGTGGATTCACCCAAATTGAGCCCTAAAACTCAATTCTGAGCTTCAGAGACTACTATGAAAGCAGTAGGCTTTCATAAAACAAAATCAGGGGACAGAAATAAACATCTAGGGTTCCAGATGATAATTAGATTCACCTAAATCATAAAAAGCAATGCAAATTTTAAGTTTTTTTATCGAGATGTTCGGGTTAGTGTATTAGCAGAAAGATTGTAAAGCAAAAACTTACACAATTGCACAAAATTTAGGGCTTTAGATAAGCATATATCTCTGAAAAGAGGAGAGTTTGTTACCTGAATCGGGAATCAAAACCAGAGAGAGAGCGAGAGAGAGAGAGAGAGAGAGAGGTGGGGCGTCCCGAATCAGATCAGTCGCCTCTTGGATCATAGGGAGTACCGATGTTTATTATGCCAAAGCAATCAACCACAGCGCGCCACGATGTGAAAATTTGGAATGTTTTTTTGTATTTTTTAAAACAAAATATATAATAAAAAGGTTTAAATAAGAAAAAATTAGTAAAAAATTTACTATAGCAATTGTCTATAGTATAGATCTAGTGAGTTATGTGTTTCTTTTATTGGATGAGATTTATATTTTGTGAAATAGTTTAATGAGAAATTTTGAATATTTTATTTTAATTTTATCTTTTAGCATTTTTTTATTTGTTTGATTTTTTGTTGACTATTTGTTTAAATTTATGTCTATCTATTCAATTTTTATCTGTGTAAATTTGTTATCTATTCAAATTTTTCTGTGTAGATTTTCTGGCTGTTCAATTTTTTTTGTTTGTACAAATTTTCTATCCAATTTTTTTTGTGCTAAAAAAGAAAATTAGTCATAATTAAAAAAAAAATAACATAACTTAAGGAACATGTGATATAAGGGGTGTGCATAATAGAATTCTCTTTAAATAATTTATTTTAATCAACACAGTTTTTTATTTCCACAATCCCCTAATGACGTAGTAAGACAAAATGCGTGTAATGATAGATTTTTGAAAAAATATTTAAATGTGTGTCAACTTTTTAAATTTTGTTTGTTATGCCATTTGGGGAGGTTTGAAGGGGATAAATTATGTGGATAAACCATTTTTTTATAAATATTTTAATTTATTTAATAATTAATCAATTAATACACAATAATAATGATAATACCGTATCCCTAAACGCATCAATATATGTAAATTTAAGGGGGATAATACTATTTTTATTTTATGCAAAAGTAACTTTCTATGGAACATAAGTTACCAAATGAGTGCTATAAGACTATTATCGTAAAACAAATTTAGCCTCCGTTTGGGTAATGGGTTGACTTTTTAACTATTTTAACCTGAGCTAAAAAGTTTAGTTTGGGAAGAACTTTTTGACTTTTTTAACTTTTTTTATGAGAGAAGAATGTAATGATTATGGGTTGGATGTGATATTTTATTTTTTGTGGCTAAAATAGCTTATTTTGTCTTTTGTGGCTAAAATAGCCAAAAAAGCCCCGTTTAGCTCTTGCCAAACGGAGCCTTTATAGTTTGATTCATATTTGGCATATAAAAAAATTGTTTTAAATAAACAAATTAACAAAAAAAAAAAATTCAAGCTAAACTTAAATTTGATTATATGTAGTAAAAAAAAATTTAAACTATTTAAGTTTTGCTTGTGACTAATTTGATTAAAGTTCGTTTGAATCAAAATGAAATGTAAATAAGTTAAGTTTGAATACATTTTTAGAACTTGATAAAATGTATAAGTTAAACTCAATCAACTTACTATTTAATTTGACTCAACTTGTTTACAACATTGCAAAAAATGGTCAACAAATACTCCTTATACAAATAAATAAAAGTTACAAATTTGTTAATTGATGTGCAGTCTATTATAGTAAATTGAGTCATGTTTTATATTTCAAAAATTTATTATTACTTATCACATCAATTTGAAAATTTATTATTCTATATAAAGTGTACATCTAAATTGGTATGGACGGAATTATTATTTTTATTTTTTAAAAAATGCTTTTTGGGATTTTTATTGATAAATCCATCTTAGAGTTGTTATAACCCATTAAGTCCACAAAGGAATATTATAACCTGATTAGTCCCATAAACTTTTCTGAATATTCCATAAGGTCCATTTTTCTAATTTAATATGTTTACTTGGACTATTTTGCCCTCATATATATATATATATATATGTATGTACAGTGTTAATACATATTACGTGCCTGTTTCTTCGTAGATTCAGTTTGGCAGTTTCTATTTTACGATTTTCATCATCATTCTAATTCGGAGGGATACGTTTCTATTTTCCATGCTCGTTTCAAGCCTTGGATGTGCTAGGGTTTCATTCTTGCTGTTGTAGTCTGGTTCTGCCATTTTCGAGTGAAGACGACGAAGAGGAAGGTGTTCGGTTGTCACATTTTATGGACTATAACTAGTTGAAATCAGTTGTTTTCGAGTTTCTAGACGATTGTAGGATTGTATGATTAAGGTTAGTATCAATTGGGTATGAATACATGTTCAGTTTATGGTTTCATTCGTATGATGGATCAGATGCTCTGCTTTTTGATTGATATGGATCGGATGCTCTGTTTTTTCAATTACATTCATCATACGTGGTCCTATAGAGGGGAGGTCATTCAGATTATGTGAAAAATGTTATAATATTCCTTTTACTTTGATGTATCCATAATGAGGCTCTGTGTGAGTGATATAATTCAGAATATGTGGAACAATGTGAATGTTTACATCATATTAGTATTACGTGAAGAATGTGGATGTTTGCATTTTACTTTGATGTTTGCTTAATGAGGCTCTGTGTGAGTGATATACTTCAGAGTATATGGATCAATGTGAATGTTTACATCGTGGTCCTGTGGAGGGGAGGTCATTAGATTAGTGATGAATGTGGATCTTCTATAATTCAGCGTATGTGGAACAATGTGAATGTTTACATCATGTTAGTATTACGTGAAGAATGTGGATGTTTGCATTTTACTTTAATGTTTGCTTAATGAGGCTCTATGTGGTGATATAATTCAGAGTATATGTGTCAATGTAAATGTTTACATCGTGTTAATATTATGTAAAGAATGTGAATGTTCTCACTTTACTTTGATGTTTGCTTAATGAGGCTTTGTGTGGGTGATATAATTCAGAGTACATGTATCAATGTGAATAGTCACATCTTGTGAATGTGAATTATGGATTTAACACTTGAACTGTACACGTATTCATCTAATTTTTGCACAATGTGAATTTCATATCGGTTTGGATTATTGTTGATTGTTGTATTGTTGTGTTTTTACAAGAGATGGATTCCTTTATGATGTTGGTGTGTACATATGGTTGCAGTACCACTGTAATAAATGCTGCTCGCGCATTGTGTAATTCGCGTTTGGTGGACTGTTTATGTGAAAAATGGGGGGAGTTATCTGCTGGTTCTATTTCATTGTTCTGTCGGTTACCTGGTATTAATAGGTGTGATTTGGAGAATGAGGAAGAATTTTAGAGCATGCTATTGCTTGCTAAATCAATGGGGGTACAACATGTAGAAGTTGTGGTTGAGTTGAAAAGTGATATTGGTCAGTCAAGTAGCTCGGGATCGCTGCGTGTGGAGGTTGAGGAAGATATTGATGCACTACGGAGATTTTGCCACCATAAAGAGAAGGTGTTGTTGTCAGCCCCTTGGGCAAATGGTATTACGCGTGTGGGACAACGGTTTGTTGGAAGTGCACAAGAATTTCGTGAGGTTTTCTGTAAGTATGCCATCCAATGTGGGTTTCAGTTTACATATGTCAAGAACAAGACAACAAGAGTTACTGCTTTGTGTGCGATGCGTGAGGAGAGAGGCTGCTTGTGGGCTATACATTGTAGAGCACAACGAGCAAATGGTTTTTTCTACATCAAGAGGTTTAGTGATGTGCATAGTTGTGGTATGGATGTCCGAACATCAAAGAATCTGCGAGTTAGTTCAAATTTGGTGTCGAGTACCATATCTGAAATTGTGAGAGACAAGCCGTTGACTCGGCCGTGTGAGGTGGTGACTATTTTGAAGAGGGAGTATGGGCTAGATGTGAGTTACCATGTCGTATGGTTGGGTGTGAAGAAAGCAAAGGCTGGTATTCATAGAGATCACTCATTATCGTTTGATCAGTTGTGGTGGTATTCGGATGCTGTGATGCGATACAATCCGGGGAGTTATGTCAATATTGACTATGATATGAGTAGTCAATAGTTTTGTCGTTTCTTTGTGTCTTCGCTGCGTATATTTCTGGGTTCAATTCTTGTCGGACTTTATTATTCCTGGATGGAACATTCCTCAAAAGAAAGTACAAAGGTCAGCTACTTGCGGCAACGACAAAAGACGGAAACAATGGTTAGTATTTTTTTTAGCTGTCTATTCATGTCAATATTTACTCTGAGCAGCATAGTCTGGACAAATGAATGATTGATAAATTATAAGTAATGTGAACATTGACATTAGTATGCACTGATGTGAATGTTCACATCTGTGTATGCTAATGACAGTAATGTGAACATTCACATTATTAAACACTGATGTGAATGTTCACATCAGTGTATACTAATGTCAGTTGATCCATTAATGAACAGTAATGTGAATGTTTACATTATCAATGACTCAACAATCAACAATGAATTATTAATGGTCGTTAATGTGAATGTTCACATCGTTGATGTTTACGAACCCAAATCCAATAATGACAATAATAATAGGGCAATGTAGATATGAACATTCACATGACCTATTTCGTTTATACTGTTTTCTATTCACTTTGAAATATTGTGAACAGTTGTGTATTGGTGTTGTGCTGTAGGTTTGTTTCCTGTTGTATTTGCGATTGTTGATTCAGAGACCACGGCCAATTAGTCGTGGTTCTTGCATGAACTTGGGAAGGTTGTTGATGGTAAGCACCAGATTACTTTTATTTCGGATCGTAATCTTGGTCTGTTAGAAGCTATGCCAAAGGTGTTCCCATCGGCTCATCACGGTTATTGCTTACAACACTTGAAGAGCAATTTAAGAGACCGAATGAAAGGAATTGATAGGGATCACCTAGTAAGTAGTTTGGGTGACTGTGCTTATGAGCCAACTGTGGTAGGGTTCCATGAAAAGCTTGCAAAATTAAAAGAGGAGGTGTAGACACCCCATTTTTGACCGCCTTTAAGACTTGAACGCGACTGATGGTTTTGGAAGTTGTGCAGTGCAAAGGTTCAATTTCTTCGGCAAGGAGAGAGTCAAATCTCAACTTCATACCCCTTTTTCTGGACCAAAACGATCTTAATCAAAAGATTTTACAGTTAAAACCCTCTTTTTCAAAACTTTTTTGAAATAAAGTTTTTACGATGTTCCGAGGCTCGCATTTTGTCAAATGTCGCGCTTTTCGGTAAACTGAGCAAGGACAAAGTGAAAATGAATGAAAGAGAGATGAAATCTTTGAAAAATC